TTCAGAGGAAAACTTTGAACGTTCTTAAGAAAATCAAAAAGACACTATGAAAAGAGACCAGCAATTAACATTAAACCTAATCACAAAATCTTCTAATATGCATGTGAAAGTGTGGCATAGGAGGAGTTGGACCAATTAGGGATCAAAGAGGAATTTACACATGGAGACAGGCTACATAGTTGAAGTATTAACTGAAAACTTTGCTTCTGGCTTTACCAAGGAAGAGGATGGCACCAAAGCCATTGTGAAAGAGGACGTAATTCCACCACATGAAGTGTTTAAATTTGATAAGGAGGTGGTTTGGATAGAATACCTGCTCTTAAAATTGATAAGGTGCCAGGGCAGATGACGCATCTAAGGATATTGAAAGAAGTTAGAGTGAAAATCATGGTGGCACTGATCACAATGTATAAATCATGTTTAGACTCAAAGGTAGTGCCACAGGACTGGAGAATTGAAAATGTTACCTGCTTGATCAACTAAGGCTGTAAAAGGTAAGCTCAGCAAATACAATTGTGTCAATTTAAGTCTGGCAGTGGGGTAACTTTTTAAAATAGTACCTCAGGATAAAATGAATAACCACTGCTAGCAAATGTGGATTAAATAAGCAAAAGCAACATGGATTTAATCAGAGCAAATCATATTCAACTAACTCGCTACAGTTTTAAACCAAGAAGAGGTTAAAAAATCGATGTCGATGTGGTGAACACAGACTTCCAAAAGGCACTTGATACAGTTCCACATGACAGGCTGGTGAGCACAGTTATAGCTCATGGAAAAAAAAACGACAGCAGCAATATTGACATAAAACTTGGCCAACTGACAGAAAACAGATTAGCAGTGATTAATGATATTTTCTGGACCAGAGGAGAGTTTGTGATGAGTTCCCAGTGACTGGTTTAAGGACCCTTGCTTTTTCCGATATACAGAGATGACTTCAACCTTGACACACAGGAACAATTTTCCAATTTTCAGGTGATCTGAAACTTGGAAACATTGTGAACCGTAAGGAAAATTGTGTAAAACTTTAAAAGGACTTAGGAAGTTGGAATAGGAAGGAAAAGGCAATTAAAAAGCAATGCAAGGAATTGTGAAGTGATTCATTTTGGTGGGAAAAATGCAGAGAGGCAATAAAGAAAAAGGCATAACTCTAAACGAGCTGCAGGACAAGAAGAACTTGGAAGTACATATGCAAGTCTTTGTAGGTGGCAGAACAGGTTGAAAGAGCAGGTAAAAGCATGCAGGCTATGTTAAAGTGTTTAAGGCAGACTGTACAAGACTGGTTTGGCTTTAAATGAAGTATGGCATTCAGTACTGGGTGCCATACTTCAGGAAAGATATGAAAATATTAGACAGATTGCAGACAAATAATTCCTAAGAATGACTTTTTCATGCAGAGGGTGGTGTGTGTATGGAATGAGCCAGATGAAGTAGTGGAGGTGGGTACAATTATAACATTTGAAAGGCATCTGGATGGGTACATGAATAGTAAGGGATCAGAGGGGTATGGGCCAAATGCTGGCAAATGGGACTAGGTCAGACTGGGATTTCTGGTTGGCATGGATGAGTTGGACCAAATAGTCTATTTCCATGCTGTATATCTCTATGACTCTGATTCCAGGGTTGAGTAATAGTGGATACATTGTTAGATTGGAAAAGTTAGCACTGATTTCCTTGAAGAGGAGAAGGTTGAGAGGAGATTTTACAAATATATTCAAAGTCATGAGGAGTCTAGGTGGAGTACATAGGGAAAAAGATACTCCCATTGGCAGATGGATCAAGAATGAGAGGCCACGGATATAAGGTAATGAGCAAAAGAATTGATGAAGACATGACGAGCTTCATGTGGCATGTGGTAAGGTCTGAAATGCATTGCCTGAGAGTGTAGTGTAGGCAGGTTCGAGGCATTGAAAAGGGCTGAATTGTTGAATTATTGTCTGAAAAGGAAGAACATGTAAGGCTACGGGGAAAATGCAGGATTGTGGCACCAAGTGAATTGCTCTTTTGGGAGAGCCTACGGAAACAGAGTGGGCCAAATTACTCCTTTCTGTGTTGCAACGATCCTGTGATTCTGAGAAAAAGACTAGAGAAATTGGCCAGTCAGTTTGTTCATTAACTTAACACTCTAGATGCTGACATTGTGATTCCCAGGATCAAAGGTTTTGGTGTGCTCACACTCTCCTGCAAGCAAAATGCATGTGTCTTAGATTGGAGTGATCAACAGCATTAGCCTCACTCGCAAAAACTGCCAATGTCAGCCAGGCAGTGGATTCAGGCTCCTTAATGGGGGTCTTCTTCAAACTTGTTTGTTTCTGGATTGCCTAAATTTGTATTGTATATTTCAAAGAGTTGTGCATTCATCATTTTGTTTATATTTCTTTTACATCCCTAGTGATGGTTTTAAGCACAATCCTCACTTCTGCTGAGTTGCACTTGTACTGAACAGGCCAAGTAGCTACAGCAATCCATTATGAATGACGTTGGGCCATCCTCGTGCCAAAACAATGAGTACCAATAAGCATGTGCAGACGGTTTTAAGGAGCAAAGGGGAATTAGCCAGAGTTGCGGTTTATGCTGGAATCAATCACATAATAAGAAATAAAATTGGGGTCCTGTAAAGGGAGTTTTATCGGTTCGGAATCAAATTAAAAGAGCAGGACCTAAAAGGTGCAAATCTGAGGATTATTCTTGCTGTCGTGTGCCAGTTGACATTAGAACAGTAAGATATATACCTAACTGGAAGTTAACTTTTTGTCCTTACTGCCGAGTAAGCTGGGTTGGGAGGAGATGCATCATAAACCTTTTTTTTGAGATTTTCAGTTCATAGAAATAAGACAGTAGACAAACAAAGGAAAATACAACTAGAGGATGATTAAGGGACAGACTAGACAGATTTCCATAATAAATAAAAAAGGTCATCATGTTCTGACAGGAAAAGCTGCCAAAAACATATATACATCTGTCATATATAAACGGTCAGTAAAGGCTGCTCCCACTTACCATATTTCATCCAACTATAATATGCCACAAATAGGAGACCTCATAAATAGCACATTCTGTGTTATGATATTGACTTGCTAGCTCTCCACATTTAAACTTCTCTTTTCCAAAATGTTTCTCTTGAATCTCAGGGACTCAACTTGCTGAGACATAGGTTCGTAAATAAAGGTGAATAGTAGTTTCCACCTAGCGACCAAATTTTGGAGCAATAGAAAAAAAATGCACCCTCTTCTGAGTTCAAATTATTGCTGGGACCAAATAAATTTTATTGTGTTCTGTAAATAAGGACTTCTAAAAAAATACTGCATATTATATGCTCATATAAAAGTTAATCTTGTGTAAAAGTCACTGCTAGTTTTTCAAGAATTAAAGCCAAAAAATTTCCGAACTAAGTACTATAGAGATGTTAATGGTATTATCATAGAATGCATACAGTGTGGAAGCAGGCCATTCTGCCCATTGAGTCCCTCGACCCTCCAAAGAGCATCCACCCACACCCACCCCTCCCACCCTATCTCCATAACCCTGCATTTCCTATGGCTAATCTGCCTAATCTACACATCCCTGGACACTATGGACAATTTAGCATGGCCAATCCACCTAACCCGCACATCTTTGGACTGTGGGAGGAAACCGGAGCACGCAGCGGAAACCCACGCAGTCATGGGGAGAATGTGCAAACTCCACACAGACAGTCACCTGAGGTTGGAATTGAACCTGGGTCCCTGGTGCTGTGAGGCAGCAGTGTTAACCACTGAACTGAGATGATTTCATCATAACTGGTAAATAAGTTCTTTAAGAATTTATACATTTGTGTTTTGGCTCATTTATTCAAATTATTAAAGCAATCGGACTATGAATGATAATCAATAATAAATTCTTATTACCATTGGAACAGATTAAACCCACTGCAAATCTCTTTAAAATTATCCACATTAGCTGCCAACAGTTTCTTTGGCCAAAATTCCATGTCTACCCTGTCCAGAATGTGTCCGTTAGAGGAAATCAGAGAGAAATTCACTTAGTGCAGGAGCGCATGGCAGCCTAGTCACACCCATATTTTTATGGCACTTGCTGCCATTTTTCAGGAGTTGACCACTCAAAGGTCCCAAAGCCTTATTGACAGTAACTGAAGAAAAGTGTGTGATGTTCGTGAGGGAGTAGGGTGGCAGCTGAGTAAGTAGGGGAGACAAGATTGGTAAAAGTGTAGGCTGGTTGGTGCATGAGAGGGCTAGAGCACCAGGTAAGTGAGAGGACTAGGGTGTTAGGCAAGTGGCCAATTGGTTAGGGTAGATTTGGAGGGACAAGGGGTTTGTGTTGAATGGGGTGGTCAGTGTTGTGTCTGGTGGTATTGTCAGGTCGAGGTGAGGGGAGAAGGTGCGAGAATATGATTTTGGGTGTGCTGAGGGAGTGGCTGTGGAGGGGTCAGTGGTGAACCAGGGGAATGGTTTAATAGTTACCCAGGAACTGGGACCAGCCATTTTTTTAATTTTCTAATGTCTCCTGGGTGAGTGTTAAGCTTTAATGAGTTGGAACTTTGTGACATTAACAGGCTTTTTTTCTGGCATTTTCCAGACATGGGAATGGCCCTTTCGAAAATTCAACTTCTGAGACAATTCAGATTTAGCTACTTTGGGCATTCTCCAAAATCCCAATGAACAACTCCAGCCTACACTGCTCCAGGAACTCTGTCCATCAGAATACCTGGGCCAATATCCATTCTTTAGTGCTTTTCATTTTATCTTTATTCCAGTGCAATTTCTTTTGGGTCCAAATCACGCGGGCTTGTTAATTTCTCAAAAACATTACCTGTGTAAAAGTCATTTGCATAATTCAAATTTGTCTCAAAAATCAATGTTTAAACAAATATGTACAGTATGTAATGATATGCTTGATATAAAACAAAGTGATAAAATACACATATTACATGGGAAATTATTTTTAGAATTCAAAATTTTGTCTATAATGAAATTTAATTATTTTTAGAATAGATGACCTACCTGGTGAGAAGAACAGCGTTATCGTGGTGAGCGATTCCATTGTCAGGGATGGCATTTCCGTTACCATTGCGGGAAAGAATAGATTTCTGCCACTTACAGAAGCTATCAAGTGACTTGCCCGCATGATGATTTATTTCCAAATTTGGCTAAAAATGTGAAAATAAAAGACAACATACTGAATGACCAATAAAATAAGTAAACTTCAAAATTCTAGATGCTCCCTTTGCAGTGGTATTTGGCTTCTATGAAAGCTAAATATTCAAGTTAATAGAATCAGAGTCCTAAACAAAAATGAAACAGATTGGTAATTTTTGGACTTGATGGGGATCTCACTCGCAAGCTGGCAAAGAGCTCAGGACATTTCTTTTTGGGAACACCCCTATATGAAGTCACAATGAGGACCCCAACCTAGAAAGCTACAAACCATCTCTGAGAGCTAGTAGGAACTGCAGATGCTGGAGAATCCGAGACAACAAGGTGCAGGGCTGGATGAACACAGCAGGCCAAGCAGCATCATAGGAGCAGAGAGCTAATCTTTTTCTGTTGGGCATGGGTCTGCAGAGGAAGGCCAGTACCTCCTCATTACTGAGCAGCATCACTAGGAAAACAACGGATGAGACCTAGAATCACCATGGACTAGCATAGGCGAGATATGGTGGGGGAGGGTTACAAATGGTCACACGGCAGGGTTATGGGTGAGTGGAAAAAGCTTTGTAAAATCATTTAAACTTAACAGGAACAGCGGCAGAGAAAGCACAAAGGATTCTCCATACTGTTCAAAGTATGTGAACAATCACTAAGAAGATGGGAAAAAAGCATAAAATAACACTCTCTCCTCATCTTGGGAGAAAATAAAATGTGCTTCTTTCAGTAGAAATAGGAGGATGATTCCCAAGTATAAAGAAGTTTTTAACTACAATTAACAAAAATTAAGGAAAAAATTCCGACAAACTAAATCAAAAGAGATCTTAGAAACTTCCATAAAGACAACAACGCTCTTAAAAGATTTATTAGCGACTCATTTCTCATTACAACAACTACAATTATTGCGATATGCAAAACTAAAATATTTTATAAACTTGAAAACTCAACATTAATACAACTGTGCTGACTATATAATTTGAAACAATAAACAGCAAAAAAAATGTAGAAACCTTACAACAGCTTTCAAGTAGCTCATTAAACTGGGAGCAACAACAACAGTTAAATGCAATAACTATGGAAAAAAAATTATCCTTCCAAGCATGTTAAAAATCTCACATACTTTACACAGTGTATTTAAATTGGACTTTGTGAAATTGACAATTAATTAAAGAATTGCATCAAGATTATACAAGAATCCCAGAGAACAAATAAGCTCATTTCTTTATTCTGTAAGTCTGATAGTCGATCACATTTTTAAGATGAGGCAGAATACAAAATAAGAGACAATATTATTGGAACAATTTCACATTGAATTTAAAAACCAATTATATAATGTAGACAGAAGGATTTGATAGAAGCACGCAACTTAATAGAGAACCTTATCAATGTGTACACATTTTCAGAATTTTGTGATTAAAATGATTTACAATTGGCACTAATTCACAACAGAATTGTTGTTAAATTTCTGGTCTACTTATTTCAGATATGTTACAAGGGCAAGAGGATCTCACACTGCAAAGTGCTATTCAAATAGCATCACAAGCTGAACTCCAAAATTAGCATCAGGAAATGATGGTTAAAATAAATCAACCAAGCTCAAGAAGTTCATCAAGCTCTGTCAATTTTCTAAAACACCTAAGCATCACATGACAGATCAACTAAAAAAAGTTAAATCCTTTGATGCTAGAACTTACTATTCCAGCTGTGGAATTAATAAATCAAAGAGTCACCATATCGAGCTTTATTATGTCAATGCAACCTCACTACAAGAAAAGGGGATTTAACTAGAAAGTGTTCGAACCTTAAAAGAACTATTGAACCACAAAACTCATCATGCTTACTTGCACAAAGAAGTCAATACCTTACAGCAAGCTCCTTTGGAAGAAAATATGGAATACCGAGACATATTTTCATTAGAATGCACACTAAATGAGGACATGCCACCTTTGGAAGATACATTTGAATTTTTTCTAGAGCTAAGAGATGACACATCAGAATCACATAGAACACGGTCATCCATCTAATTTCCATGTTAACACTGTGGTAAATGTTACTCTTAAATCTGAAACAATCCCTTGGTTGAGGTGAATGAAACCTTCTGTTAAGAACTGCACGGTGCAGGCACAGCACCATTGAAAACTATAAGTATGTTGTGAGTATTCTTAAAATACAAAGATCAATACTATATTGAATAGGAATACTTGATGAAAAAACACTTCTCACTTCTGAGCAGAAAAACACTCTTAAATTTTTACAGAGACAACAAGGTGCAGGGCTGGATGAACACAGCAGGCCAAGCAGCATCATAGGAGCAGAAGGGTCTAGGCCCGAAACGTCAGCCTCTCTGCTCCTATGATG